CCTACCAGCAAAACTCTAGGGACTTTCCAGTACGAACCTATTTCCCACGTAGATCTAGAGTAACAGATGTTAACTGAAGCCTAAACAATAGAAAATGTCCAATAATTTCAAAGAGATTAGATCATGCCTTGAAAAAAGTTTCTACAAAAATATTTGTGTGGAGACAGAATAGAGAAAGGAAAAGCAATAGATCGCTAATACCCATACTAACGTATGAGTAATCGTGACCACAACAGCAGTGCCTGATTGCAACAATTTCAGTGCGGATCCTGTAAGAAGGTGTAGGTTGTCGTTCTTCCACTTGCAGTTACTTAGTACAAAAGGATGAGTACAGCCCAAGGAAACAGATGGAAAAACACTTCTGGCAGCTTAAGTGCAGTTAATTATTTGTAGGCGAAGCATTCTGCTATCAGCATTGATTTGCTGTATTTGAAACTGAAACAGTCATGGCAGCAACAATTTTATTCAGCATCACTGCAATTACCTGACTATAAATAGGACAGGCAGAACCACAGAGCAACACCTTGCTTTAAAAACCACTTCCAGGAACACACACACTTTGTGACTACACAAAGGTGTAGTCACCCCTTTAGTAATCAATTCATTCAGGTCTCATCCTCTCACATTTTTTTCCACCTCCTACCTTCTGCCTTTAAGCAGATTCAACAGTTCAGAGAAAAAAAAAATAGAATGGAAAAGATTTCACAAGCTTTCACCTTATGAATAGTGCAAATGAGGAAAATGAATACTCATTAAGTGCTTGCTCATTGCACACGTGTTTGCAGGAGCAGAGGGAAATTACATGTTTTCTTAGGACTTTTGTGGGATTTATCCATATCACCAGAACCTATGAGAGAAGAAAGCTGCTGCTCCTAAGTAATGACATTTGCCTTACCAGGAGAAGAGACAGAAAGGGAGCAGGCTTGGGGAGGAAATCTCTAGCCTCCACCAACCAACAGGCTGGAACTGGAGACAAAAGGGACAGCATAGACTATTTCCCCCTGAAAAGTCTAACACGGGAAAGACACTGCCTTGTTACCAAACATTACAGTATTTTTTCTGTTCGTCATCAACAGGTATCCAGTTTTTTACTTTCCTTGCTTTGGCCAAAGCATGCTTAGGTTGTGTTTGGCCAGACAGATGGACTGGGATGAAGAAGGCAAAGGATGTCTTTTATTCTTCAATCTTCCTTCCTTTATTTGTGCTTCTCCTCTTCTAATATGGCTGGCAAGTCTAACAGAGAAAATAAACCTGGTCTTGAGAACATTCACTATATGTGAGCATAACTGTTCAGAGGCCAGACCACACAGAGGAATCCAGGGTAAATTTCTGGATTTTTAACAGTAATCATATACTTCCTGTTATATAACAGAGCTATTTGACTTTAGAGGACATAAATTAGTTTCTTTTGTACAACTTGAGACAATCCTGTCATTGTAAGAAAATTACTAATTCAAATACCAGTATGAAGACGGTATTGAAGTCTATCTGCCACTACAGCAACAGCACCATATAATGGTTTAGCAATGGATTGCTGTCAGGTGGTGGCAGTCTGTTGGAGCAACCCAGCAAGATACTGCAACCCACCTGGGTAACAACACAGAGCAAGGAACATGCTGAAGGCTGTATCTTACTCTGCTGTCTGGGAGGTCTGCAGCACTAGAAGCTTCTTGATACTGGCAGACACACAGAAGGTCTCAATAATCTTGCATTCTGGGTTGGAGATACCTGCCTTACATTAACCTTCCTCCAGTTAATGCTTTGGCCAGTTTCATAAATGTTCTCTGCTCAGGAGAAACTTCACTAAATTCAATGGAAGGGAAAATGTCTTCATATTAAACAATTTTTCCATCAACTTTAAATTAAGGTTTTTCTTGAAGGAAAAAAAATGCTATTGAGAGCACTTGAATTACTTTTGAATAAGGATAATTGGAAAGAACTGAGATGTTAGCTTTCATTGTTCATTCATAATACGGACTAGTTAGGACGAGACACTCTCCAGAATACTCTGAGCAACTGTGATCATTCACTCTTAAGAAAGATTTAATTTGACTGGAAAGACAACAGATAAATCCTTTAAAGACATGGAGAATGGAGAACTTTTCTATGGGAGGACGGAAAAACAGACGGTTCACTTTGAACAGAATGGAGGCTGGAAAGGCCTTTTCTCTATATGTATCAGGGTCTTAAGCAGCATGAGACAAGGCATATTTAGGTTAATGTCAGCTCAAAAGCAAGTGGAATAAATTATCCAAGAAAAAATTTACTCTGGGTATGTGGAAAAACTTTCTAGTACCAGAGCAGTGAGATCCTGGAAAAGCTTACTTATAGCAGTAGTAAGATCAAACTGTTCTGCTTTCAAGTGGAGTTTGATAAGTCTATATTGAAGAAGTTGCCTGAAACCAAGAACTTCTTTCAAAATGACATAGCACATCCATTCAAGCTGTATGTTCTTGAAGTCACCTGAAGCCACATTCAGAAGACCAACACGTGTCTCTTGTGCAAAGTCAAGAATTGGAACCTAATGCCAATTACAAAAACTTACAGAGCTTCTACCCAGCACTGCAGGCAAGCAATTGACCTGCTAGCAATCTAGCTCATGCCTAAATCTCAAGATTTGAAAATTTTATGTTTTCAAGCAAGATGCAATCATATTTTCACCCACCCAACCTCACAAAAAATCCAGGCCTTTTGAAGAAAATTACTTTAAAAGTATATATCTGGAATATAGGAGACCTGAATTTATTTCTTTCTACTTCCTATGCATCCTTGGAGATGCATGGAAATATTCAGTCACCTGCTCAGAGTTAAGAGTTTTATAAGGTTGCAAGATATGTAGAAGTTACTCACTGTGAGTTGTTCTTCAAATCTAGTTCCTCTACTTCTGCAGAACTAGATACTTTAGTAAGGATATAGAGAAGGAATTCAGCTACTGACATACATCAGCTTTTTATGAGTTGTGCATTAACTACACTGTGGCAGCAGAGCTTTACCAGTTAGCTCTGTAATGACCCAGTGAAGTTTCTTAGCTCAATCACATTCCAAGTGAATACATCTATATTGTTTGCAGCATCCGTGTGATTTCAAGAGCAGTTTAGCCACTTCTGTAGTGTGTGCAATCCAAACTAATGAACCATCAGAGCCCAAATTAGCTTCCCAAGTATGCCGATTTAGCAGCCTTGATGTGTGCTTCCAGAACTGGGAATGCTATGTTGTAAGAAGTTAAATTACATCCAGTAAGACCTACTGGCTATGTGTGTACTTGTAAATTAAGATACATCAGCACCTGCGACAAACTGATCATCTGAACATTGTTAGAATGACCCTTGGTATAATTTTTGTGCAGGCCAGCTAGCACTCTTCCCAACTATGCCCAGGCATGATTCAGGAGCTGGCACGGTCCAGGAGCAGACAGTTTGCATGCAGCAACCGCGCTTCACAGCCTGACAGGATTTAATTTTGTTAACATAGCCAGATCAAACCAGAAAGAGCCCTGGCACTCAGTACCTATTGGCTTTCAATAGCTACACCAAATTTGGCAGGGTCAACAATGAGCTAATGCTAAAAAGACCAGCTGAAACCAACCTGGGGTACAGACGGGCCCCTCCATCCTGTTCGCTGCAGCATCTCTGGTAGCAACATATCTTATTAGATCATTCACTGTGCAAGATTGAAGCAGTGTCTGTGCCTGCACTGCTCTTATTCTTGATCTCCCAGGCTTGCCTGCCACCCAGAGCATCAGTGGCTAAATTGAAATACCTTGGTGACTATGAGGGAACCTGCCCTGGTCTACTAGGTTCAGCGCTGAAATACATTTAGCAGTAGTTCTGGACACTTGATGCCTTTGACCTGTCAACCAAACAGATTAACCTCAAATATAAATAGATTATGAGTATTTATGTGTATTTGTATATGCATACATATATATAAAGATATACAGCCCACATATATATGAATTTAAATGAAAACTGTATGATAAAATTTAAAACCTTTTAAATTATAAAAAAATGAACATCTTTCAATATGAACTTTATACAATACAAAAACGTTTTGTACATTTGTTTCAGCTTAAATTTGACAGCAGAAGTAAAGCTGCAAAACAGAATAATTACAGATCATGATTAGCTGGCCCAGTATTTTGTTATTGAGCATTGTGATTAATATAATACTTAAGTTACAACCTTCCTTAATATATGTAGCTTTTACCTTTTTTTTTTTTCCAGTCAGAGGAACATCATTCTGATAAGTGCTTGGTATGATGAGGTCAAACCCAATATATTTATAAACATCACTGTATATTATTGGTGCATCACAAATGAAGTACGGAATTATACTGGATATTCACCTACAGGAATAACACATCATTAGAAAACAGAACACTGCAACTGCAAATTCTTTTATTATTGTTGTTATGGTTGGAAAAAACCCAAAACACTAAAGTAATTCCACAAGATCTGACATCCCTGTTTGATTAGTGTTGTATGAACATCCCTGCAGGACAGCCACACATCTTATCTGAACTCCAGCCCGTGCTCATTTTCAGAATGTGTTTTACTGCTGTTCTTTCTGTGTACAATGATCTTGTCCTTTTCTTCCTCAGTCCAGAACAGTCATTAAGAGAAGAACTTTACTCCCTGGAAGACAATAGGGACTAGAGTTCATAATGAATCCAGTAAACCAAGCAGCATTATCCCTGGAGAGGTGAATAGTTGTGTAACTTGGCCCACCTTGTTGCAATTTTTTTTTGTTTTGCTTGCGTCTTGAAAGTCATTTACAACCACACATTGAGAAACAGGAGACAAAAACAGTTAACACAGCCATTCTCCCATGGTACTCTGCATCTTCTTGCTGGGTCTCTCTTTCAGGTACTCTATTTACTTCTTGGGTTCAAAGTTTTGCTCTCTTTGCTTCTTCCTTTTTTTTAATCATGCATCACTTGGCTCCCTTGTCCTTGCACCTCCAGCCTTTGTTTTTTTCAGTCTTTAATGATGATCTTTCAGTTAAGAGCTCACCAAAGTGTAGATCATGCTGAATGTAAAAGAAAGACACAATATGAAAGTATCCTTTTGAAGCATACAGAGAACTTTTTGATCTTTATAACCCTTTACTGTCTGTTTCTCAGGTCTGACTGTAATAGCCTGTGCTTTCCTTTGCATTCTTTCTGTCTCTCTAAAGCATCTTAATTATGGTGTATTCAGGATCGGTATCAAAAAGCGCTCAAGAAATAACAAATTCATTATCGACATCCTACTGCACCACAAGCTGTGTTTGAGCTTATTAACATGCAGTCTGATGTCTGAAAATGAGCAGTGAAGAAACAAAACCATTTTGCTTTACTGTGTTTGATCTTCAAAACCTCAATCAGCAAGTCTCAGCAGGACGGGCACAGTTTCTCATGAAACTGCATTATTTTGTGCCTTTTCGAAAAAAATCCCATGCAGTAGAAGAAATATAAAATGCAGACACCAGTGGGAGTGAAACCATATATGTTAAATGCACTTCTGAAAAGTCAAGAAAATGTAGGATATTGCTACAGCTCCGTTTTACTGCAATTCTAATTCTGACAATACCCAGGGAAAGCATAACAAAACTAAATGGAGTTAAGGTTATTTTATTTAGCACCAGACAGTGGATTTTAGATTATGGACACATTTTAGAATTAAGAGAATAGGACTTAGAGGAAGCTGCACAACAGTAGAGGCCACAAACGCAGTTGACTTTCACAGGGTCTTTTAGCCAACACAAAAATGTCCCTGGGGCCTGGCTCAGGCGTTAGATAAACGTTCTGTACTTAGATAAATATTCTGTACTTGGATAAATATTCTGTACAGAAGTGTCAGCAGGTGCAGGCACATGCTGCTGTAAGTGGGCATGCTTCCCTGAATCAAGATCAGAAGCAAGTTTTGTAAGACTAAGGAAATGATGGGCCTCTTGGTTCCAGACATTCCTGAATAAAACTTGACATGTCAAATGAAAAGCAGCTGCTACTTCCTTAGTGAAATGACCAGACTTACCAGTACAGATAGTAGAAGAAGGAAAGGAGATAGAAAGCTAGCTTACACCAGGCCTCTTTTTGACAGTAGCTCAAGGTATCTGCATTCATGACTGCAGGTGGATCATATGCAAGCTCTGAACTATCTGCTGGGCAACGAAAATACCTATAAGAGCAGAAGACATGTGGAATGACTCTGTAATATTGTGTAGTAAACATGTGCAGGTATACACCTCTCTGATCACCAGCTCAGAAGATAACTGTCTTCCATGAGGCAGGAGAAATTTTCCTCTCTTCTTCCAGCCTCCCTTTCCAGACGTTGTCAAAATCAGGACACTAGACTTCAGCAGACTGTTCTTATAGAAGCAAGCAATTAATGAACCTGGACTCTCTGTATTCTATCTTTAGATTGAAACATTCCCTCTTCCTACATAGTTATTTCTGGCTTATTCACTAGTAACTTACATATTGTGAGTGAGAATATACGGCAACTTGTGATCACAGCAAGGAGGACGGATTACTGGGCTTTAACTGCACCTACACAACTGACTGAAAGGTGACAGTCTCAACCAACTGATAGCTCAGCTCCTCCAACTCTGAAGAGGAAAAAAGTCACCATGGAATAATAAAAGCTGTCTGACTAATGTTTTCTACATGTAGCACTGCTCAAAAATTTATCATCCAAGTAATTTCAATTGGAAAATGTTTTTCCTCTTACATAGGAAAAATTTATAATTATTCTTGCAATGACTGGATGCTTGAGAAAATCCTGACAAAAGCACTTTTTTTTGCAAATGAGCTTGTCTCCATTACTTTGCAGTAAAAACAAAGTCCCCAGCAAAGTTAATTAATTGCTTTAAGATCAGCAGAAATCAGATGAAATATTATTATCTCTGCTGCTTTAAAATAGCAAACACTGAAGATTGCTGGGATTGCTTATAGATAAACACCAAACAAGTGACCAGCAGCAAAGTTTGAAAGCAAATGTTCTCATAATAACTTTGCCTTCTTCCTTTCCAACATTAGTCACATCCACTTATAATCCCTAAAAACATTACAAATTCTTTTACAGAGGTCACAGGTGAAACCTTGCTTAATTATCTTAATTGGGATGAAGATATTATATAGTGTCATCCCACAGTTTCCTGCAGAGTTTTACACAACGAACCCCAAACTATCTGTGGTTAAACCAGCAAAAGTTATGGAGTAATTATAGGAAAGTATATGGAGAAACAGGGCAATCAAAAGTTGTCTCTGAAGCTTGGTATCATTATCTAGACTGATATTTTTCACTTTTAATATAAAATACATTTTTAAAATTGTTTTTAAAAACTTTAAACCAGTATTATTGTTATACTTTGTTTTTTAATTCTTAATGAAACAACACCATAAAACATTATTTTTACTGCATCCAACCAATAGGGAAGAAAAGCACCCTTTGCTTCATTTCACTTTCTGAGAACTATACTGGCAATCTAACTTCTAAATAATGCACTTTATCATATGAATCTGCAATATCACTAAGCTTTTGCAGAAAATAGCATAAAAAAGCTACTACTATTTAGTTGCTGGTTGAGATAATGGTTTTGCCGCCTTTACAGAATTACTCTTCAAGCTACTTCGCAACAGGAGATAGCTGCTGCCATATGTATCTTTGTAACACAAAGAGACTCTGACAGCCAAAAATCCTCCGTGCTTTTACAAACATTGTGGAAATGAAAAACTAATGAAGACTCCAGACTGTCAATCACAAAAAATTACGCCTCTTGGTTATCTTTAAAGGCAACAGAAGGGAAATCCTCCACTAGGATGCAGAGGAAAATTGCAGCCACAGCAGCTTCACTGCCTGTCCAGAAAACATGAAAGCTGTTCAAAAAGCCAGTCTCATGTGGTTGACTCTGAAAGCCGCTCGGTGACTATAAACATGCAGGAGAGATCCAGAGCGGAAAATGCTCCCCACTCCTTCAGATGGGCAGGGTGAAGACAATAGCTCTTCATCTACTGCAATTCCTACTCTGAGAATCTCTGAGAGAAACTTCTCTTGCAGAATAGAAATTTTCTACTGTACAGCAAGAAACAACTTTATTTTATACTGAAAAAAACCCACAAACTCAAAAAAAAAATAAATCATAAAGCTGCCAAAGAAGACAAGAAGCAAAATTCTGTCAACCTGTCCAGTCTCTGTTTCACAACTCTAGTGGAAGTCTTTGCAAGGGGCTTGGTGAAGGCTGAATGAATACAAGATCTTTCAGACATGAACTGCCTCACAACTCCCCATCTGTGAAGTATTTAGAGCCTGACCAAGTTCCACTTTCAGATTTCAGCCTATTTAATTCCCAGGTCTTCATTCAGTTGCGGTGAGTGTAACCTGCCACCTTTCCAAATATTTATCTAAGTTAATAACTGAAAGGTATATTTATATTATTATGCTTTTTTTTCCCCATTCCTAAATATTCATGAGTAGTATTTAATTTTTCTCTGGAAATGTGAGTTTTAGCTGCTTACAGGAAAAAGGGTGGGCTTACCTCCAGAAGTGATAAAAAAGCAAAGGAACATTTAACCCCAGTGTGAGCCACTCCTGAGCGCACAAAAACATGATGCAGAAAAGACTATGGATAGAGTACTCCGGCAACACCAGCTAAAAATAAAAGAACAGGAATAACAGATGTCAGTAAAACATCTCTTTGATTTTAGTCCCCTAAGCAGTTTCTCAGAAAACAAATCATTTTTGCAAGTCTCCCGTGTGCCTGTGTCTGTCTCTACCTGACAGACAGCTTGGTCAGAAGCAATGAGCATAAGATACAAGTGCGAGGTTTGTTCAGGTTCTACTCATGGCTGTAGTACAGGGGCTTATTGAGAGGCATGGGGCAAATCACTTACTGTCTTAGCTGGTGCTCCAGATTTCTGTCTACAAAATGTAGATTATATCACTGCCTCTTTCACAGAAGCATTGTGAGACTAAAGAAATATCCGTACACAAGTTCTTAAAAGAAGCAAGTTTCACTACTGATGCATTCAGAAAGGAAAACCCAAATCTAGTACTGAAAAATTCACTTCTACATTGGAAGACCATCCTTGGAAAAATAAAAGGCTGCTTCTACCATTTTGATATATTATATACAACCTAAAGAGATCAAATCCATTACTAAGTCAGTGTCGCAAGCTAAAACCCACTAAGACAGGAAACTCGCTTCCTTAGTAAATCCATGGCTCCCCACACTTCAGACCCAAGATGATTCTTTCTATTAAAAGAGAAGTGAGTGGGCAGCTGGGAGAAGCAGAAATTTATGTGATGTTGATTCAGAGTAGTTATTTCTAAAGGCATGTTGCTTTTTTTCATTGCTTTCCTGTTTCTCAGCTGTTTTTCTTCTCTTGTTTTCTTCCAATGCTTTTTTCTCAGAAATCTATTTCTTTTCTCCAAGTCATAGAAGAGATTAATTTCCAGAAGTATATATTTCTCAAAGCTAGACAATTCCATACAGAGTTCATCTGCATCTCTTGCTGCATCTTGGAGCTACATCAACCAAAGTTAAATCACAAAAATCATTTGAATGACTTCTTTTGATGTAAATTCACGTCAGTTTGTCAAATAATTTAAGTGAGCCTTATTTTTTAAAACCATGAAAAATATACTATATAGCTACTCCTAATGCCCACATACTCCCATACAGCTGTGCTGCAATGAATTCCATCTTCTGGATTCTGGGAGTCTTTCTACCTCACGTGAAACATATTTTTTGCTTTCATTTAACTTCACTACTTCAAGCAGTTAATATATTTGGATATCTCCATGTCTATGCCTTCAACTTAAACATTCTCAAAAGCTTATCTTCTGTGGATGACAAATCATATACAGATTCCAGATAGTAGTTATTTATCATTGCTGGTTTTTTTTTTTTAGTTTTAGAGCATTATTTGCAACATGAATATAACCTTTCACCAAGGAATGATTCATTTCCATCACCAACTGCAGACAAGAAAGGTCTTCATCATGTACGTCTACCCACTAAACATAACAACACTTAAAAGCATATTACATTCATTATCACATATTTGATTTCTGATTCCAACACAATACAAAAACTTAGCAAGAACACAACCCTGATCAGTGGACTGGCTGGTAATAACAGAGAAGGAAATCCATAGTGAAAATTTATGCAAAGCTTAAAAACAAAACAAAACCAGAAGTCTGCTGAGAAGGTAGAATGGAAACAAAGGAAGCAATAGACTCTCAGAAACAGACTCATTTTCCTGTTGAAGTTTCTGTTGTAAATTAAATCTACGTATGCTTTTGATAGAACAACAAATGGGTCATTTACGTCTCTTCACCCTTTTCTTGGAATGACGTTTTTCTGAGGACATAAATACATAAAGGCTCAGTGTTGATCACAATTTCCAAAGAAAATTCACACAAAGAAGCAAAAATAATTCCCATCCTGCAAAGCCAATTACAGCTTATATTCAGGCAATTTACCTAAGAGACCAAATCTAAAAGAAGGTGAGAGAACTGAAAACAAAATGTACAAAGGCACTAAGGGCAAGGCTTGTGAGGAAAAGTAAACTGAGTTACTAAATAACTAAAAAATAACATTGCCTCAGTTCTTGGTTGTAAGAATCATGCTGCATTTGTCCTCTGAAACCAATGGAAACCTTAAATGAACTTTGGGAGCCCAATCTCCTGTTTCCTGAAAAGAAGAAAACTGGGTGAGAAACAAGCAACGGTCAATCCTGGTTCTTGCTGAGGCAGTCAACTGCAGTAGTAATTTCTGTGACACAGAGAGTAATTAAACTAACATCTTTAATTCTTTCGTGGGAGAGCACACAAAGCTGTCAGATGGTAAACATGTTAGGATAGAAACAGTGTGCTTCCATTTCGAAACAGGAACACGCTGATTCAGACGACTACCTCTGCTTCCTGACACAGCTCAACATGGAGATGGTTATAGAGCACAGAGTTGAAGGAGAAAATGGCAAAGCAGCACAATTCTTAAGGGCTGCAACTTGGTCACTTTGAGTACTGAGCTAAGGAATGGCATTACAAACTTACCTGCTGACAATTACATATGGAAAACCACAGGAAAACCTGAAAAGGAAGTCAGCTTCTAGACCATAACACCTTTTGCTATAATATAAGCAAAGGAAAGAAACTACTATATCTAAGTTTTGCTCCAGTATGTATAGTTAGGTAAATATCCCTATCAGTAAGTACTCAAAATTCTTTCTTCGCATTTAAAATGCAAAATCTTAGGTATATATCATCCTGATATCATTGCCATCTCACCATAAATATTCACCACATTCTCATCCAAAATAGTACATGCATACATGTAGATAGATTCTTCTACTCTAATTCCAAATAAAATAAAGCAGGCTTTGCTATGCTAGATATCTAGGTTTGGCTGAACTAAAGCATGGGAAAACAAGCACTGAAGCTAAGCATCTGTCAGCAGCTTCTTAATGTTTATAGGAGTACAAAGACCTCTGTAGATTGCAACTGCAGAAGGGTATCTCTCGGGAAGCTCAGTCCTAAATAATTTCATTTAGTTTTCTATTTCCTAAATATATTTTTGTTCTTATACAAAAGCAAACCCACCTTTTTCTGTCAGTACTTTTCCTACTTCTCTGTTTATTACATACAGATACATCCTTCTCAAACGTAATATCACTTTTACAGAACAACGCATCATTTTCACACGAAATGACTCTTATAGTTTATCTCACCAGCGAACAGAGCACATAAGATACCTCACAGAAACCAAAACTGGGAAGATATTATAGCAGGAATAGTAATCTCCCTTCATCAGTGCTATTAAACTCTCATTCTTAGAAAAGACACTGCACAAGTCAATCAAACTGTTTTCCCAGTTACTGTTAGGCCACCGAAACGTCAAGACTTCATGCTTCCTTCCAGCACTTTGCTTATGACTAGTACTCCTGAGTGCTGTACAATAACAGTAATTCTCACAGAATTGCTGTTTCTTCCCCCAAAAGACTGAGTCTACATCAGTTGCCACCTGTGCCTGCCAGCCTCCATACCGTAACCACAGGTTTTACATCGTACCCAGAAATTGCCAGCCATTAGACATTCTACCCTTCCCAGGGTTTCCAAGAGTCTTCATTACACTGTGAGAGCCTGAGACAACTTCCCTTCCCACCACTTTCCTCCTCTTCCCACAGAGGGCAGGGAAAAAAAAAATACAATAAATGAAGAGAAGTGGAGGTTGAATCTCCTTCATGTAACACAAGAACCCTGGTGATTACCCAAGTGGAAATGAGTTGCTCACCTTACAAACACATAAGACCTTTTCCATCTACAACAAATACCTAAAACCCCCATGCATGCACAGAATCACTTTGAGGCCCCAAATTAGGTCTGATCATTGCTTTATTGCAGTGGTAAATGCTGCTGCACCTACTTCCACTAAAGGATGGCTGCAGCTTAGAATCATAGAATCATTTAGGTTGGAGAAGACCTTTAAGAATATTGAGTCCAACCATTAGCCACCTTCACTATGGTGCTCACTTTGCTGGGGTTTTTTTCTACCATATCCCTTGCTAGAACTGGCATGTAGAACTGGTCCTCAGTAG